CTATTTATTGTTCTGAATCAAATTTACTGTAATTATTTTAGAATTACTTGTACACTAGCATATTTCATGATCATATCTTTAATAGCATGCACGGAAATAATAGCATAAAAGTACATATATTGGGGAGTTAACTTCAAATGTCGATAACTGTTATTATGTTATTATGTTATTATACTGCATCTGTAGTAATTGGTAATTCTGACGCGGATTTCGTCATATAAATTTGTTGTCCTGTTGTCCGCAATTTATAATGTCCATAGTAATACAAGTGAAACAGTTTACAATCTCCATATACATTTAAGTATATTGGTGTTTGTTTGGATAAATCTACAACTATTCAAAGTCTATATTATATAAATATTGTTGTGTACGATCTTCTAATGGTTTCAAATATCTATATCAATATTAGTTTACAAACCACATCTGCATACAAGGGAAGAGGGTTACAAAATACACGTGTAGTTTAAATACAAATACATGTGAGGTGGTTTACATCATTCACATAGGCGGGATAGATAGCTAAATAGGCGGGATAGATAGATAGATAGATCCTTTTTGATTCTACGGGTAAATAATAAATCAATAACGACTGGACAGTGAGAAATAAAACCGAGAAACCCCGTGGGCAGGCCAACACCAAGTGGCACGGACAATGGGGGAATCGAACCCCCCTGCCCTGTGCCATCGGGATAACAGTCATTCGTTTGACACATTTCTCGGTTCAAAATAAAAACGATTAAACGATCACAAATGATTAGCGGAGGTTACAAACAGATAAACAAGTGACGAGACGTGAGTTAGAGACATGTACGACATTGAACGATAACAATAACAAATGGTTTTACACTCAAATAATTACAATTCTAAAAATACTTAAAAGTACAATAAATCTAATAAAAAGCAATCGAAAAGGCGGGTTTGTACAACTAAAAAGGATATTGTTCAGCCATTGTCTAAGATATCGGGGATTATTAGTGAGTTGTCATCCAGGATTGCAATGGCGTCATTAATGCACCACTGTGTTTCAAATACATCTAGAGACTTTGTGAGCAGGTGATAGTTGTATTCGTTAGTTACCCGATACCTAATTTTGGATTTAAAACACTGTAACACATTTATTTGTACCCGATCGTTTAACCTTTTATATCGTGT